AAGCTATTAACTAAAAGTGCCAAAAAGCCCTGCTGAAGAGCCTGATCTACGTAGAAACTGGGCAAGCTGGGTCAAACTAATGCGATGCCTCTCCTGTGCATGCAGTGCATTCAGCGCAGGTGCACACTGAGCTGAAAATAAATCACTGGGTTGTTTTATTTTTTCCACATCTGTAAGCAGCCCCTGTTATTTCATGACAGCTGGGTCTACCTTCTTGGCATGAACTGATTGTTCCCATATTGGACTTGCATACTCTGCAGTAGAATGACATATGACAATAGCAGTGGTTCATAGTGTGGCTGTGTTTGCTTCTCACTTTGAGCTGACCAACTTTTGAAGTATGTTGTTGCGGGTGCTGACCTTCCCTTTCATCTTCTCTACATGTGCTTTGAAGGTAAGTATTTGGTCCAGTGTAACCTCCAAGTACACAGAGTTCGGGTGATTAGTAGGGCTGTGAGAAACAGCACTGTTCCATTTTGACTTCTGTTTTGATGCAACGGTGTTTTGCTTTGAGTTTTGTAACCACTGTTCTGTTTCATTTCATCAGAACTGTTTCACTGTTTTGACACTGTTTCAACATTTTGCCCATAGGCTATAATGGGGAATCATAAAAATGCCTAACACGTTGTCATTTCTTGCCTGATTCAGATGAAACTTGTAAGGATGGTAGACAATTCTGAGAGCATGCAGCCTGCCAAGTTTCCAGGAGATAGGTACAGAGGTTTCTGGAAAACTGCACCTCAAGGTGTTGACAAGCAAAACTCCTGTCACTTGCCGGCAGCGGCAGCCTTCTGTCAGCTGGCAGGCAGATTGGGGGGCCCACACCCCTGGAAGGAGTCCGGGACAGCCCCCGAAGCCCTCCTGGGGGTGCAGGCCCCCGGATCTGCAAGCTGGATGACAGCATGCTGTTGCTGATGGCGGGAGCCAGCGGCAGCATCAATCTTCTGGGAGTTCGGCATGGGCTGCACCGAGTGCCAGTCCCATCTGGCAGCAGCAGCCTCCTGTCATCCAGCACGCAGATTGGGAGCCCATCCGTACCCCTGGGAGGGCTGCAGGGCTGTGTTGGACTCCTCCCGGGGGTGTGGGCCCTGATCTGCCTGCTGGATGACAGGAGGCTGCTGCTGCCTGGGACCAGTGCTGGGTGCAGCCTGCACCCAGTGCCAGGAAGATTGGTGCTGCCACTGGCTCCAGCCGGCAGGAGCAGCATCCTGTGATCCGGCATGCAAATAGGGGGCCTGCACCCCTGGGAGGGATGCGGGGGCTGTGCTGGATTCCTCCCAGGGGTGCAGGCCCCCAATCTGCCTGCTGGATGACAGGAGTCTGGTTCTGCTGCCTGCAGCCAGCAGCAGCACCAATCTTCCCAGTTCTGGGTGCGGGCTGTGCCCAGCATTGGTCCCAGGCAGCAGCAGCAGCCTCCTGTGATCTGGCAGGTAGATTGGGGCCTGCACTCCCGGGAAGAGTCTGGCACAGCCCTGCAGCCCTCCCAGGGGTGCGGGCAGGCCCCTGATCTGCCTGCTGGATGACAGGAGGCTGCTGTCGCTGGCTGGGACTGGCACTGGGTGCAGCCCGTGCCGAGCGCCCAGGAGGTTGATGCTGCCACTGGCCCTCGCCGGCAGCGACAGCATGCTGTCATCTGGCATGCAGATCCAGGGGCCCGCACCCCCAGGAGGGCTGGGGGCTGTGCCAGAATACCTCTGGGGGGGTATGGCCCCCAGATCTGTGCCGGAAGACAGGAAGCTGCTGCTGCCAGCTGGAACCAGTGCTGAAGCTAAGTAAGCCTGGCTTCGAAACTCAAAACATTTCGAGTGCCTTTGTTTTATTTCAAAGCTGTTTTGAAGGTTTTTGTTTCATTTTTC